TTCAGGATAGCTTGGCACAGGTGCAAGAATATGCGGATGTCGGTATTTCTGTGAGAGGCTCCTATTATCCGGGCAATAAGGAGCCAAAAGATGGCGAACGAAAGCTTTTCCTTTTCTTGGAGGCACGATCAGAACTTGCACTGCGACGTGCACGAGAGGAAATTTTGAGGATCATGAAAGACACTGTGCGACAGATGGTAAGCCTGCATTCAGTTGCAGTTTTTATGCGTTTTTTGCATCTATGCAATGCCAGGGGTATTTCGATCCATTGACATGCGTGGTACCTAGATTCAAACAAACTCACTTTTTCTAAACCTCAAAGGTTGGATACCCTCCCATAATAATTTTTTGGCTTTCGAGTGATTTTTACGACAAAACCCTCAAGTGTTCGTGCGTGAGAGCTCGGCACTAATATCTTTCTTGGGTTTTTGTTCGCATGGGCGTACTTCTTTTGACCATTGAAACTCGCAAACGTCTCATTCTATAAAATTTTCGCTTCATTTGAGCGCGTTGGTACTTAAAATTGCATTGATTGCAGGCTCAAACTGGAGCACGAAGTGCAGGAATGGCAGGAAGATATAAAGTTTTCTAAATTTGTGATATATTTTGATAGCGATGTCTTGTACCTCTAATTTGCTAAACATCCGTACATGCTGAGGGCTGAATTTAAAATATTTCAGTTGCATTTGAACAGGGGACGTTCCCCCTGAGATTTCAGCTTTCTAGCTCTTCTGGTTTCCGAGTTAATAATTTTCCCGCCAAAACTTTCACATCACCGTACGCGAGTACCCCGTAAGCCCCGAAAAGAAATGTTTTAAAAATAGCAGTTTTTTTTATCCTCTGATTTTGGGGAAAATTTTTGTCCCGGAATTCTCATTGCATTCATCTTCCAGTAATTTATCACGGAGATGATTATTATCTTTTTATGGTGTTAAATGTTTTTTGTATACTTTTTCTAAGTAGGTGCATTTTTTTTTGTAATGCAGTTATAACTGTGGAATAAAATAATTGGCCAACGCA